ATACTCTAGGAACAACAAGTAGGCCTGCAGAGCGGGAGCGAAGTGCTCTAATAGGGTGATATGGTACTACAAGGTCATTAAGATAAGATGGGGCCTGATTATTTATTATTTTTTGAGTTACTTTAAAAAACTAATTAATCACTAATTACTAATTACTTAGTCAATATTGTATTTAAAATACTTATCTAATTACTGTGTCAGAAAAGTAACTTAATTACTCAATAAGAAATTTAACTAAATACTTTTTAAAACCTTGAGTGGGCAAACAATAGAAATTAAACTCTTTAAATAATAAATACATTTTTTAAAGACGGAGACTCTACAGCAGTGGTAGCATCTCTTCCACATTGTAGCCTGCAATCATTCTTTAAGCTCACCTTCAGACGCTTTCTATGCTGCTGAAGTAAAATCAGGTTTTGCTGCTTAGCAGGAGTTGCTGCGGTGTTATCCATGGATGATGAACAAGGATCGCTCAGAAGTGTTCGTCTATGCTCTCGTGTCAGGCGCTTCAGTACGTTACTCGTGCTATTAACAGCGGCCATAGTTTTTTCTCCCCAGGACATAGCTTACATATTACTGTAATGTTCTTGTCTGCTTGCTTCAGAAAAGTGAAGAGACGGGAATATGTCCATTTCATAAAACAGCCACTCGCTTCAGCCGAGTCCGACAGCTTCCGCTGTAGAATACGACTGTGCAGCAAACTGGCGCGAAATGACGCACAGCTGCACTACAGCGATGTTAAAGAGCAGAGTTTACTTCTACGTTTAGAAGACGAATTATTGAAATTAAATAATGATATTCAGCGAGTTTAATTATTTTACAATGTGACGCAAGTACATTGTAAGTAACTGTAATTAAAATACCTAAAAATGAACAGTAATCAGTTACTCTACTTTTTCAGTGGAAAAGTAATTTAATTATAGTAACTCATTACTTAGTAACGCATTACACCCAACACTGGTGTTGCAGTTGAAGTGAAACGCTCATAAGTGGGAGGAGCCTTGCCTGGCAGAGCTGCGACGTGACGCCCATCATGCCCAAAACTGCCTGGATGAAAAGAAAGACAGAAAAAGAAACAATGCAAGGTCAAAAGCCAAACCACCAAGATGCATGTATCACCTGCGGCCGGCACGGACGCTGGCACAAGAACTGCCCTGACCGAGACCAGACTCAAAGTGGACAACGCGATGACCAGCAGCAGACTGAGGGGAGGGGGCAGGACTCCAGGAGATGCTTCAGGCTGTCTGTGTGTGTTTTTGCATCACTTCCTTGATGCAAAAACACACACACACACACATGCTGACACAATGAAGAATGCTTTGCTAAAAAGTGCTCATGCTGATACACAGAACAACACACACACTGTTGCAAGAAGCCATTGAACATTTCAAAGGCATTTCATGCCACAGGACAGGCTAGATTCTCATCCTCAAAGACCCCACACACCCTCAACACAGACTGTTCACACTTCTGCCCTCAAAACGAAGGTTCAGACGTGTGAAATCCAGACTCAGCAGCTCCTTCTTCCCCGCTGCCATCAGACGCTGGAACAGCTGACCGATTTTAACAGTAATCATTTTTGCACATCAGGTCATCTCACATATCAAACCACAATGTTAAGCTCATAGCTCTTTGCACATAAATCTGTTTAACACTTCAATTTTATTTATTCATGCTATTTGTATTTTATCTTATTTGTACATAGTAACCAGTATCTGTGTCTGACAGCAGAGAAAGAATTTAATTGTACAGAGAAATGTTTTTTCTTTGTGCACATGACAATAAACGCTTTGAATCTTTGAATCTTGAACTTGACCGACAACAACGATCTGTCCTAAAGCGATGTGTATACTTAGTCGTCAATGGACTGTTTCCACAGGACTGTGGAAGCGCTGGTATGGCTTCTGTCCTGTGGGGACAGGCAGGAACACTTTGTGTGTTTGAAACTTTTCCCACATTGCTGACATCAGTGTCTCTCCAGTGTGGATAAGCAGGCGTCTCTCATCGTGGCTTTAACCCCTTGAACACATTGCTCACATCGATCTGGCTTTTCCCATCCAGTGACAGATTGATCTTCATTACTTTACTAGAAAAATGAGCTGTCTGCTTACCTGTCCTGGTACAACCACACAACAAGGTCCACTGTGAGCTGTTGTTTCGTTTAGCATTTCACACAAAGCCTACAAAGCAACATACTTTTACTTTAATGGCCTGGATGTTTCTCATGTTTTAAACTTTCTGCATATTCTGTTGTTTTAATTTCGGCGTACCTGCTCGAGAGGAATGAAATACACACAAAACACATGAAATCAAATGTGAGTTTTAGTCCAATTTATTTGTTTAATTATCACATCACTAATTAACAAGTAATCACAATAAATTTTTTTCCAAACCGAAAAATAAAATTCAAATTATGAAAAACAAACACACACACGCAAAAAACAAAACAAAAACAAAGAGGTTCTTCAAATGACAGAGTAAGTCTACCTAACACATCCCATAGTTTTTCAGCATGCTCTGCAGGTACAGTAGGTGTTTGTTAGCTAGTGTTACACTTGCATGTCAGGTGTGAGTGTGGCAGCGTTCGATGAAGCACTACGAGGCTCCTTGGACAGATTTCAGAGGAGCTTTTATTAAATAAGCCAAAATGTTAGCTACGGTTCATTTTCTCAGCCTCAAATAAGAACGTTTTAGGGTGTCTGCCCTCTGAGTGCCGTAACAGAGCGGCTAATAGGCTTTGATATGCAGAATGTCCAAATGACAGGTCTGTGTGTGGGCCTCTGTGCTCACTGTTATGCAGTGGCATGTGATTCAGGTGCATTAGCTTCATTCCCATTTAGCTTTATTCTTTTATTATATGAACCTGCAGAGGTCACTGTATCCTTACAGAAACGTTTCTCATCTCTTAGGACTGGGCTTGCAAGCATGATTTCATAGTGTGCAGACATACATGTGCGTGCACTATACATTTTGTTAAAAAGGCTGCAGTTAAATAATTAAGCATATATACGTTTCCTGTTCAATATTTCTAAATCGAGCTGCTGCCACAACTCCAAATAAAATCATCTGCTATAATATTTGAAAGACTTGAAGAAGTGCTGCACTGGGAGACTCAATTCTGGGCGAGATGCAGTCTGTAAAAGTGGCTGTGATAAATTTGATATTTTACACCCTCCAATCAGACGAGCACGCCCCCCACAGAGCTACAGGAGCCCATACGTTATGTCTTTACTGCACTTATAGCTCAAAAGACATTCTTTACTTCGGTGGCCCCTTTCAATAAAAACAGGTAGACCTTTTTATTTTTGCAGTTCTTAAAAACAGCCATAATAGTTATGATGCTTCCTTAAGCTTCCCCACCAACCAACCCTGCTTGGTATCTACGTTGTTTACTTCTTATATTTTAGGGGCCATAAAGAGGACTACAGAGCACATCTCTACACCCGTGTTGTGGTAAGTAGAAACTCTGGGAGAAAAGCAAAGCTAGAAGAAGTTGGGACAGGCACAAGGAAGCTTTTTGCTAGGAGACAGCTGCTGCGGCGCAAACAAAGCAATTCAACTGCTTGATGACAGCTTTTATTAACGCGCCACCATCTGCATGTGAAATATTCCCAAAGACATTGGTTGACTTCCCGTCCCTGTACTTCTGTTAAAAATTAGCAATGACTAAATCAATTAACAGCTGAAGAAGAAGAGAGAGGGCATTCATACTACTGCAAAAGCTCACTCAGAATGAAGGATCACTTATTCCTCATTATTTCCACTCCATAACAGTCAACCCTCGCTGATACACTCAAGCTTTAAGGTGCTAATTAAAGTCATCAGAGCTTTTATACAAATCACTGATTTTAGCTTGCACTGAAAACCTCTGTGTTTCTGTAGCTGGATGCTATTGCTACGAAGCTGGATTAGCATTTTGCTTTTTGGGAATTTTGCTACATTTGACAAAAACAATGACTTTGCAAACACAGACTGGAAACAACTGTGTGAGTAGTTCAAACGTAAGTACTGTTCTTCAGAAAACTGTCGGGTATACCTCAAACATTTTGGCAGTTACACGATGAGTTTCACCTTGCGGCGTCACAATGTTAGCTTAGATTATTGTGGCCAAAAGGATTAACAGTACTATTTCTTATTGTGATATCAACAGAAAATTACAAACAAACCTCTCATGCTAGTGAGGTAACATTTTCAAACATGGTAGCTACTGCTAGCTACCAGAAGCTTGTTAGCTTCTGGTAGCTACTGCTAGCTACCAGAAGCTTGTTAGCTTCTTTCAACGCATTGTTTTGGTTTTATAATTTGCTGTTTTACTTCATTGTCATGAACCCTGTTTTCAGACACAACAGCAGACAGCTGTTTGCAGTTTAAGAAAAAAGCACCAGATGGGAGGCAAGTACAGTTAGCAGCTGAGTGGTGAAAAAAGCTAGCCGTTAACTGTAGCATGTAGCAGCTAAAGAGTTGGTTGAGTCGGAGATGAAAAGAAAATGCTGTTCTTTTATTAAGGTAAGACGTATTACATGGACTGAAAAGGGCATGCTACGTTTGCTAACACGTTCCCCATCCTAACTTTATGAGATGATGTTTTGATCTATCATATTTTCATTTGCCAGTCAGTTAGATGTATGGTATCAGTTTCAGATGATACCCAGCCCTTGTTATATTACTTTAACGACTGCTGACAGAATCAGTTTGACAAAGCCAAAAGAGCAAACAAACAAACAAAAGAAACCCTCTTTAAATCCTGACAGTGGCTGACCTGTGTGTGTGTTTGAGCCACAGAGTTGGTGCATACAAATCTGTGGTCAGCTGTGAAATTCAATCATGATTTTAAAAAGGGGAAACAAAGATTACAAACTGGTTCTTCCTCTCTGTTTCCTTTAAAATATAAATCAGCTAATCTCGACACGTAAATTGACCAAACCACAACACTTTGATAATGGACATCAGCCTTTAACCTAGAGTCATATTATCTGGCCATGCATTACAAAGGCAACATTTGATTACATTGCTACAATAGAAGAGGATAAAGCCGCATCGTCCCCGCTGCTGTTCCAACAGGACACAGGAGTGTCAGCTGAAGCTTTAGCCAAATGCCAAACAACATGCTACCACGATCCTCATAGAAACACCTGAATGGGACAAGAAGCACTACCAGGAAAGGGCCACTTACAGGATTTCCTTTTAACAGCAGCACCAGGTTTCTCCAGGCATTTCCTTTCACTTCCTCTGAGCAGTTTTAGGTCAGAGCCTGGGTCAGCCTCATTCGCTGTACTTCAAAATGACAGGAGGCACATACGATACACACAGCTCCTTCGACTTCAGACATATTTCATATTTCCTCATCCACATTTGGGCTGCAGACTGAACTTCATCTTCCTCTATTACGTTCAGGTTACAGGCTTCTTGCTATTTTGCCATTAATAAAAAAACAACCCTTTTCACGCTTCTAGCCACGCCTGCTTTTTCAACTTCCTCTCTCCCTCTGAATCTCTTTCGTCACTGTGTGTCTTGGTTTACAAAAACCTGTGCGTGTTTCCAAGGTTTTCTGATCAGACAAAAAAAAAACCGACCGCCCGTTGTATTGCTTATGCAGGAAGACACTATAAATAAATACAACTTTGTTTGAAAATCAATGGAGGAGGAGGAAAGGAAAAAAAGAAAGACGCAAGAAATAAGATGAGCAGAACACCAAAGCTCATTTTTACACGATTTGTGTCACTCAAACACATCATCACAAACACAGAGAATAAAGAGTTAAACAGCCTACACGTTGTCTAGCTTTATTTTGTTTGTCGGCGCGTTTATGGTAAGTGTTGCTGAAGAGAGAGGAGGAGACGGCGAGATGAGTTACTATGATGTCACTGAAGCAGAGAGTGAGTGGATGCAGGTAACAAACAGCCCCTAGAGTCACAAAGGAAAGAGAAGCCAGGGTGTCCATGCTGTTTAGTAGATGAGTGATTTGCTGCTGACGCCTGTGGGTGCGGACGATACTGGGGGAGGGTGATGGAGAGCACAGTCTGCCACAAGGCTGTGGGGTGACGAGGATCCAAGCAAAAACCTTACCGTGCCCTCGTTTCCCCTTCGCCTCTCACCAGGCACAGTCTACAGTCACTCAGCCAAATCTAGCAGGGCGAGGGTGACGGCGCACAATCAGTGTGAGAGGAAAAGCATGATGGAACTACTCGATGGGTCAAAATGTAGCAATAGCAGGTTAGAGATATTAAGAGGGGTCACAAAGGTCACGATCCCTTTAAGGAGCTGCTGCGGTCGACCCCCTGGACCTCCACCTGGAGCTGCAGCGAGGAGGGGGCGGAGGGGGAGCTGACGCAGCCGACCGAAGCCAGCGACTCGATGAGGGAGACACTACGAGTTGTCGGTTGTTGTTGTTGGTAGTTGGTGTGTAGGGAATAAGAGGAGCCGTGTGGGTGGGGTCTGTTACTGTTGTTGTCCTGTGGGGCTAGCCAGGTGACGATGTCGGCGCCGTGGTCCGTGCGAGAGCGAGCATTCTCGCGGAAGTTGAGCTTGAAAGACTCAATCTAAAGCAGAAACGTTTGGGGGGGAGGGGGGGAGGACAGGTAGGGAGAGGGGGAGAGAACAAGAACAAAGAAGGAAGACAGGAAAGAGAAGGTGGGAGAGGGGGAGGCGGTGACGTTGAGGGGGGGAGTTGAAATGAGGAGGGCAGAGGGACAGCAGAATTAGATGCCTGTAAGATAAAAGATGGTGATGTGATCAGGAGCTTTGGACTGCACACAGCACAACAATCAGACACTCGGCTCGGCAGGACAAGCAGATCCAACCTTTCCTGCCTCCTCCTGGTTCACTATGTGGGGATCCACCCAAACTGACACACCGACATACTTACTTGTCTCTGGGATGTGTGAGTCCAGAGCCTGGGGCTCCTGGAGGCCCTCACTATGACAGGGAGCCCCGTCCTTCAACCCATTCTTCAGGGCAGCGGGGCCCCCGGCCTGCCCTGGCTCGGAGCCTGGGGCCGGGGCAGGGCTGCCACTCAGGGGGTCCCCACTCCCCTCTGTTGCCTCCTGTGCCCCCTCAGCCTAGAAACACATAGCAGGATGTGTCAATTGGTGGGGATGGAACAACCTGGCTCCAAATCTCCATCATCATGGCTGAGACGTAAATCTATACGTTTGAATTATTATTAGAACTTTTTTGTGAACGGCAACATGAAGTTCTTCAAACAGCAGTTTATGAGTAATTTATTTACACATTTTTGGATGACAAGAATTTGATTAATGCAGCTAGAAGGATGTGGAGCCAGACTGAGGTGAGGTATGGAAGCTCTGAAAGGTTCAGCGAGAAAAACTACTTGTTAGTGATCCACTTTCTACGTCTGACCTACATTGCTGTCTCACGACTTAAAAACAGGTGGAAATAACCGATTTTGCCAGGATATTCTGTAAAATAGTCCTCAGACTTGTGCAGGTTAGCATCTTCAGTGAAGGACTGAACTGGGTCTCCCCAGCAGGTGATTTATTTTCAGATGAAGGGAATCAATTCACGAGTGGAACCAGACGTGTGCTCGTCCTTTCCCCCAAAGATTCACCAGGTTATGAACCTGAAATTGTCCCTGATGGTTAGACTGTCAGTGAGGACTCCACTGAGGTGTGTTAATATGTGCAGACAGCTTCAGGAATGATCTCGGCAAAATCCTTGTTCACCTGTTCCCCAGTGCACTCTGAGGTAAAGCTACTGGATCAGTAATGGAAAGTGGATCCTTTCTCCTTTGGTTGGGAACTCAGAGCTTTCATAGTGGAAAAGAGATGGAAATACAAAAGACCCAAAAAACAACAACTTAAGAATACAATATTACAAATAACATCTGAGCATGCTCAATGAATGCAATGATAGCAATATAACTGAAAGTCAAGCTCGTCACCGAACAAAGCTGATGTAATGTGAAGGACACGTGCCAACATTAGCTTCACCCAGTTAATCCTTCTCCTCTCACACAAGTTCTTTAATAATAAGGTTAAAGGTCAACCCAACAGAGCATTTCACTCTCACACTGCAGCCTTAGTCGTGGGTCCTACAGTTTTTGAAGTCGAGCTCTCAGCTTTCCTCTTCTGCTCCCAGTTTGGATCCATGAGCAGACTGTTGCTGACTGTTTGGAGCTACTAATAAAAACTGAACTGAACATTATTCTATCTTGGACGAATTTAATGTCACTGTAACAATTTCTCCAAAAGCAAAAATCAAAACCTGTCAGAATGAAGCAAAGAGGTCTGAACAGCTGTGCAGTTTATTGGCAATCACTGAGAAATGAGCCAGGAAACAGTTTTCCACGGAACGACCACAGTCAAGACGCCAAAGAGACTGTGTGTGTGTGTGTGTGCATTGTAATGAAGGAGCACATCACGCAACAATAAGGAAAATGCAGAACACAGGAGAAAAGGTTCAGGTTCTGCATGAATCTGGATTCTGCAGATGTATATGGTGACACAGGATGGAAAAAGGGGAAACTGTATCCTTTCATTCCTTCCAAAATAAAGATACATTTTACAAAATTGTGCAAATCAGTGTTAAAAATAGGCTCTCTTATTTTGATGTTTGTTCTATTCGTAGCAATGATCACGAAGATCATGATGAGCGGGCAAACTAGTGAATGAGGATGAAGATGTGACGATGTGGTGACCATGAAACACAGACAGGCTGCCATAGGCTGAGGGGACAGGTGACATCATTATCATTTGATGAACTGGTGAATTTATATCCATTCTTTTATGTAACATGAACATTTTGAACGTTTTCAGTTTTTATTAAAAATCCAAAACCAAAAAATGGGCGTTTATCTGTCACGGCTGCTTTCTGTGTCTCTGAATGTGCTGGGGGAGCATCCAGACGCTTTCACAACAGGAAGCTCAGGAGACAGGAAGCTGGCTGCAGGGAGGAGGGTTCGAGGCCGGTGTGTGAGGCCATCCCAGCACCTTACGTGTCATTACCAGAGTCTTCTTTTTTTGCCCTGATACACAAGTAATCCCACGATGTAACACATGTTTAAATACTAACATGCAGACGCATGCAGGCCGGAAGGAACTGAATTCACAACAGCGTCCTTCAGACAGAGGTCAGGGTTAGAGGGCGATGCTGCGAGACATCAGATGCAAAGCAGTTTTAGAAGATGTCACATGTCAGTGATTTTCAGGATGGGATTTTTTCATAAATTATTATTTTATTCTGATTATTCTTCTGATGAAATGATCCTACATCTGTGAGAGTGAAGCCAACACAATCCTGAAGAAGCAGGTTTGGTCTTTTTTAAACTTAAGTTCAGTTGTGACTGTTTATTGAAATGTCCTTGCTTCGCCCTGTGAGGAGAAGTTGATTTATGTTGACTTGAGCTCCCAGAACATAAACTCCACAAGAGTTGTTGTCTGCAAGCTACAAGCAGAGTTAGCCTTGAGACCAGGGCTGATGCTCCTGCCTCAAGTCTTACTTCTGGATTCATATCTGCCTGGATCCTGTGCCCACTGACAGTTACAGCTCACACATAAAGCTGTGAAACTGAACTGCAGCTTTCATACATAAGGTTAAAAAAATC